TGTTGGAAAATTTAATATTAACTAATATTGATTTTCCTATTTGAATAGAAATTAATAAAATCCATTGGGTTAAAGACATGACCCTTGGGTTAAAGACATCTTCACATGGGGAGTAACAACTCTTCAAACTAAGGGATGCATTATTTGGGGTGACAACTCTTCAGACCAAGGGATGCGTTGTTTGCCTTTTCAGATTGAGATACCTTTTTAGAAAGGGTATTTCATCATCTATAAATAGAGCAATCCTCCTGCAGTTTTATTCATTCAGTTTAATTATCTACATATAGACTTTTACACATAGAAAGCATTAGAGTTTTCATAAAGAGAGGTTCCTGCATAATTTGGTTCAAAGTTCCTTGTGAATTGCAGTGCTTCTTTCACAAGGAGGAGAGTCGTTGTATCCTGGGAGGCGAACGCTAGTGAACCATAAGCACCAGTGTGGGGCGTAATTCGTCTTAAGGTCAGAGTGTCCAACACTTGCCTCGACTCAATTAAGGTTCTTCTAATTCAATTCTCCTTTTGTAAAAATCTGTTTTATGTGCAATATTTATTTTATAGCAATTTAGCACTCTTATTTCCAACAGACTTCAACTTTATTGTGGGACTTGAGAGTTTTGGTGGAGATGGGCAAGTCGAAAAAGGAGGTTGATGTGGCCGCCCAAGTCATAACTTCTTCTCCATAGACATATCACTACCGGCAAGACAGCCTATAGTGTTTGACAAGCCACTATCTCCTCCGCCATGGCCAGTATTAGTGTTGTAGGTAAGTGGATTGCCCCGTGTGACGAAGATCATCATATCGAGTGGCTCCCCCTCTAGAATAATATAGCTGCCCCTAGTGTAGTTTACTGGCTCAAGATGCCGCAAGATTGCATCCAACACTTTTTGGTCTATATCTTGAAGCATTGACACCTAAGATGAAGTACATGTAAGATAAATAAAGACATCGATACAATATCCCATAAGCTACAAAATCGTTTTACTAATGTGGACGATAATTTATTGAGAGAGAGAGAGGTGGTGTTGATTTTTCAATATTTCTTGGTAGACAAAGAAACATACTGTCCTTAGTTTAGCCAAGAAGAGATGGCGCTTGATATGCCTTGAACTTCAAAGGGAAGAATAGTGAATATATTTTCCACAGCATGATCTTCATCTCGTCGAAGTTGTACTATTTTCCAGATATATATCCAAGTATACGCATTAGAGAGGCGATATTATTACTGAATTTATGTTCCACATCTTCATCAGAATCCAAAATTCCCTGTTAGTCTCCTGCATAAATGTAGTCTATACAACAAGAAGTAGGTTTAGTACTTGATTAAATCCTCAAGGCCCTTTTACATAGAAACTACGTACTCAAAACAAGAACAATGATATATGGAAATGGAAGGAGGAACTTTAAGCTTAAGAAATAATTTTACATAAACACCGACCTGCAAATGTCCAAGGAGATATAAAAACAGTACCAGGCCACTTAAAGAAATAAAAACCACAAAGAGGGTTTCCCACGGACAACTGCTGGGCTTGAGGTTCGAAGCAAAGAACTGCAAAATCAATGGAGCAATATATAAATACAACAATATCCAGAAGAGGACGGTAAGTACTAGTTTAAGTCTTTTATTTTTGTATGGATGTTATCTTGTTTTTTTGTTTTGTTTTGTTTTTTTCCTTTTGGCTTTATGAATTTTTATATTTATTTTATTCTTTGATTTGTTTAATTACACATCATTAAAAAAAATAAGGGTCATACAAATGTCACATTGGCACTTAACGTCAATACTAAAAGTTTGGCTGACGGTGAGGGTAATTTGTAGGGTTTTCATGTGTTATATATGAGCTTATAAATAATCAATAAATGATATATGAACTTAGAAAATACTTTTTTCTTAACCCACTTATGTTTGATTTGAAAAAGATAAACAACTTATTTATATATCATGAGCTGATCGAGGAAAATGAAGGATTCTCTTAAAAGCCTAACGGAGAGGGAAAACATTGAAGATAATTAATCCTGCTTTAGGTTGCAAAGGAGGACGGTTATTTTATATATATATATATATTTTTTAATTTATTATTGAGGGAGGGGACGGAAGAACTTGGGAACTCTTCTAACATCGGACAGAGAAGTACTACTATCACAAGAGCTAATTAATAGAGAATGGGAAATTGATCCATCAAATGTTTTTGGCTAGTATATTGTGTAATTGATTGTAAAATTGTTTTGGTTACTTATTGTAAAATGTACAATATGCAAGCGAAATTTTTCGTAGGCCAACCTTAGATTTCGTGCGCCTGAGGAGAGACCATTGCAATAACTTTTGCGGAAAATCTGTTGACCCCAACATACCAGACTGGAGAGCAACATATATTCCAAACTCAAATGTTGGTGCGCATAAATGATCATTTACATGTGAGACATTTCTGAGCATACTATGATCACAATCAAAAATACTAAACTTGCATCCATTTATATGCGGCAAGCATATCTCCAACACTCTATCTGTTGTTCGATAGAAAAGAAATACCAAAAAGCTCCACATACCTAAAAGAACCAAGAAGAACATGAAAAACAACAACAACAAAAAAAACAGTTTGACTTAGAGAAAATTCATAAGAATATGAAAAACAATATGCTTTCCACTGAAGGGACTTGCAATAATATTGCAATTAGTTCAGGCTCACTCTCTCCCTTTCTGATATATATATAGAGAGAGAATTTTGATTGAGGGATTCTTTAAATAAACTTATTTTAGGGACACTTTTATAGGGCGCACTCCGTATGTATTTCACTAATCCAAACCGTCTATTTTGTAGATACTCATTCAAAGATCATCTCTACAAAAAATCACTTGAATCTGATATTATTTGACCACTCAATTTAATTATTGAAATTTTAATACTTTCTTAAAGCACCGTGTTCGTTGATTTTGTCGGACACAATTGGATGTCGAAACAGTTTTCAATTTGTCTAATTTTTTGCAGGGATGATCCATGAATGTAAACTTAAAAAATAGATGGTTTGGATTGTTGAAAAAAAATTTCATAGGGAACCCTAAGGGGTGTCGTTCAAATAAAATTATTTGAGGGATCCCTCAATAGGGAGGACTATATATATAGGGTTAATTGTTTTATTAGTTCCTTAATTTAGACCCGATTTACATTTGAGTACCTCAATTTCCAAAATGGTTCCTGTGGTCTTTCAACTTCAGTTTCGTTAAGACAAATACTCCTACCGTTAATTTTGTTAACTTTTCTGTTAAATGTAGGGGCAAAATGGTATCTTTGTATAAAAAATGATTAAAATATGAATTAAAAAATTAAAATTAAATTCTCTCCCCCTCTATCCTGATTTCTTTTCCCCTCAAACTTAATTTTTATTTGATTTTCTTTTATTGTTATTTTAAAGATATAATTTTTTATTCATTTTTTTGGTTTTAATATAAAAATACCATTTTTCCCCTGCATTTAACAGAAAAAGTTAAAAAAATTGACGACAAGAGCATTGTCCTAACGAAAGTGAAGTTAAAGAACCACGAGAACCATTTTGGAAATTGAGATACTCAAATGCAAATCGGGTCTAAGTTTAAGGACTAATAAAACGATTAACCATATATATATATATATAATATTGAATCTTGCAGGTAAGTTTTAGTCTCGTTCTCAAGGTGACTCTCCTTTGAAGTGTCCAATATATGATCAGATGTGACTGTTACAAGCACAGATAACGGATGTGAAACGTACGTGCGCTTTCAATTGTACTTCTTGTTATGACTTTGCATTGTGTATATTATTAGTTATTCATTGACAATCCTAAGGCCCGTTTGGTTCATAGGAAAGGAGGCTTTGTATTTGTTCTGTTTTATCAATAAATACTATCGCTTTTTCTCCACACCCAAAAAAAAAAAAAAAGGTGTAAATGCACCGATGCTAAATGCAGAGGCTTGGCATCCCAAAGCACCCTCTCTCTCTCTTAGCCACAACAGCCAGCCCACCTCTCTCTCTCTCTCTCTCATATGGAAATCAAGGACAACCAAAAAAATATGGAAATCAAGGTACAAAAGATATCCACGGCGCGCTTAATTACATCACAAAGCTGTTTCATATCGATCCCTACATTGAAATCGCTATATTGAAAGGAAAAGGCCTTTGAACTGGTTAATATGGACTCCAAGATTTTAAAAAAGAAAATTACAGAATGTGTTTCTCCTCTAGGTAAAGAAGTGATCCTGCTATGTAATATAAAACTGTTTCTTTTTTCTTTTCTTCTTCTACACATCTTCATTCTCAGTGTCTACAAGGAAAAACACACTAAAACGTTGGAGGCATTCTAAGTTCAATCAACCTCGTGAGAAAACAGTGAAATTCATATGATAGCAGGTGGGATTGCATGGAAATGGGCAGTCGATTTGCTTTACGACATTCCGACTAAAGTACCAATTGCCCACAGACTCTGCAATTGTCTATCAAAGTTCAAATCAGTCAGATAACAAGTTCAGTTCCAAAAAATGACAGAAAACAATTTTTTTTATTTTATAAAAGATGTGATGCCATAATGCCAAACTTGTGGTATCTTAGGCTTTCAGTCGCTACTGTGAACGCCTAAAATAAATGAAAGCAACATTTACAAGTATAAAGCATATACACATTTTGTAAAACCACAAGACAGATAGATGCATAACGGGATTTATCTTACAGATGGAATAAACTATAGCTGCCCTGTAAACATCCAATTTTTTGAGTGCTACATTGCTGGCGCTAAAGTCGCTGAATAGAACTCAGATATATGTATATCATAATCACATTCAACTATGAAGCATGCACATTAAGCTTATGAACAGCTTTATGAACTATACACTGAACCTAACCACAGTGGGAGTGAGCAAAACAAGCAAGGGAGGGAGAGGGAGAGAGAGTGATCACTGAGGGTCTCTCTCTCTAATACTTTCTGAATTATTATTCTAGTTAACAAGAAACCTTCATCTTATGTCCACATTCAAATAAGATCATAAAACTTTCCTCACCTTTTTGTTTATTCGTGGAGAACTTGGTGAATGCCATGTCTCAGTTATCCACGTCTGGCAATGAATAAAACATGAATTTATAAACATTCCTCCCTCCTTTTTTTTTTGGAATTCATTCAGCGCCTTCAGCATCGAACCGCGGAACCCTGTGAAATAATTTCATAAGTTAATTGCCACAATATTCTGTTTACAATTAGTATTCGTTCTACAACCAATTACAGGGGCCGATACATTAAATCATGTTTTTCATCTCCCGAGAAGCCTCAAGCTAGTGAAGCTTAAAGTGCATGTAAGATGAACCGATGCGATAATTTTTGTCTGTCGAAAGGGTTCAGGCACACTAGTAAGTCCCACAAGATATTTCCTTGGTAAATGATAACCGAATAATATGACGTTAGTAATGCCCACTGTTTGCAACTTGCAACTGTATAAGATGCTGGTTTATGGTCCACAAAATCTATGACCAGATTGTCCCAGTGAGATTTTTTATAGAACAATTACCATAGTGTAATAATTTTATAGGATAGTTTAAATGTGGCATGATGAGAAGAACCAAACTTCTTGTTGATCACAACTAGCAGGCTGCAACCATTAGGTGTATGTGACTTTCCTAGACTGTCAGGAAATACATATTGGGTAACAAGATGCATATCCAATTACCTTGTAGTATTTCAAGCCGGCTAGGATTGCAATTGTGAATGTTCAATTTGCACTTTTGCCAATAGCCATGTGGATCTGATGCTTCAGGTATCAAGATATGTTGTATCTAATGATATCCAATTAGGAAATGAGAAAACGAATGTGGAATCAATTCTGATGACAAGAAAATGAAGCTTGGGTTCTGAGGAAAACTACCTGCCAAAAATCGTAAGCTGGGTTGACTAGGAACACTGGGGTGTTAATGTTTTTAATAATTTCTTCAGGAAAGAGACACTGTCATAAAAATTCACAACAAATAACAGGAAATAAGAAGAAACCTCTCAAATTATGTCAGTGGTACCATAAACAGAAAAGGAAAAGAAAACCTACCTTAGAGGGTTCCATTCTTGTAACACAATCCTTGTGCAAACTTTTTGCTAAACCCTGGCAGCATGACCCAAAAATAAGCTAGAGACACCAATAATGATTAATGGGCTAAACCTACAGCTTTCAGCTAGACCTTAGTCTGTTTAATGATTCATATAGCCTTGCATGACAAAACATTTTATTTTCATACAGGTAATATAGATAAACTGAAGATGGATGAAATCATGTCTCAAATATGATGTGTCAGACTCTCAAATAAAAACTAGCAGATGCACCTATTAAAAATTCAAATGCACATTGACTATTTTTTACATCCCATAATCATATGCTGGGCCTCGCAAACTTTACAGTATCACCATTTGGATGCACTTAAAATTTATACACGAAAAAAAAAAAAAATGGGTATCAGTTAGCTAAAGATTACATAAACGGGTACCAGTAAAGATTATAGTATAACCTGAAGGATGACAACATCATGATAGAAAGCTCTCATGGTCCGATGTTGGAGAACATCTTTCCTGAAAAGTAGGAAACAAAGAGTGGCTAAAAAATTTCTCCCCTCCTTTTTATGCACCATCTAGAGCACATAGGATGCCTTAGGCAAAACAAAGGGAAAAACATAATCCATGTACAGAAACTAGTTACTAAAAGCATGCAAGACTTTTCAACATTCCTACTGTAGCTTGATAGGAAGAATTTAAAATCTTTTAGAAAAGGGAACAGTATGATACGTATTCCATTTTGATAGGAAACATTGTCCTTGAAGAGTACATGTAAGAAGTATGATCCTAGAAAAGACTCCATACTGAACAGATTAGCTAAAAAATATTGGTACAGAAGGCACTAGTACACATAAACATACTCATCAAGAAAAAAACCTGCATCAGCAAGACATTTGACAGTTGCATCCCTAGGCAAAAGGCGTCGAAAGTCATCACAATGTATAAGAGTCGCCAACCCACCAGCAGAGCATCCCGAAAGAAGGGCCTGTTGGATTGTCACTCATACATATTAACAGAAATGGACCAATCTGATAAAATTTGGATGCTGGAAAATAGAATTTATGTGAGGCATTAAAAAGATGTTCATGCAGTGCAGGAAACAAAGTTTTTTTTCTGCAGAAGTTTATTACAAATTGTGGACCAATCATATCCTTGTAGAACTAACCAAACCACAACTTGTGTAGTCGTAACTCATAACCATCAAACCATATGCATGCATAAAATTTTATTGATGTTTAAGATCTGTAAGTTTACAGATCATTATTATAAAGCAGAGCTTAATTGGATTAACCACAGATATACCTGTTTGGCTTTTGACAAGCCAACTGACAAGAGTTCATCCATAACTGCTTCCCAGATGAGCTGGCCCCTAAAGAAAGGTGCTGATCCATTCTAGGAAATGGAGGAACAGACAATGTTAGAACCAACGAGCAACTTTCTTCATATAATTCCTCAAAGACAATATTCTTCCATTAATAAAATTATTATAACCGGTTCCGAAACAGGACAGAAAATCTTCAAACATAAATTTACCTTCAGCTCGTTTTCTGGGTGGCCAGCTAAGGATGCGCCATCACAGTACCGGATTTTGACTTTGTTCCAGTTAAAGAACTCTACACAATGCTCCAAAAATGGAATTGAAATTCATCAATCAGCGGGTTAACAACTAACACTGAGTTAATATTACAAAATGAAGCATTATGGTGATAAGATAGCAGCTGAGACAAATTGAAGTACCAGGATTTTCTGATGGGTGGGAACTTAAAATCCCAGAAAAGGGAACTTTATGGTCCATGTATTTGGAAGATCCTAATGAGGTCCCTTTACGCCATGAACAAGATTCTATTGTATTGCACCAACCTCCACCCTGTATTTCAATTTTCCACCCAAAACCCATTACCCAGCTTTGCTTTCTTAACAAACATATCAACTAGAACATGTAAATGCACTGAAATTGAATGAAACCATCATATTGTAGACATGCCAAAAAGCATAAAATTTGAATTAAGACCTCAATGTGAAGTAGCCAATTGTTAGCTCCTGATCCAAAGCCCTTTTTCAAATGGTAGCCAGGCGCACTTCCATCTAAACATACTGCAAACCCATGCATTTAAACCAGAAATGAATTAGGCACTGAAAACACAGACAAAGAATCGAAATTTAGGTGGCAAGTTGAGGGATGAGATTGAGTACGGGCGCCTCTAGCTTTAGCGTTTTGCAACAAGGTTAATTCGACCAAATCGGAGGTGGTGATGGGATGAAATGGGCGGGTGATTTCGGAGTCTGGTTCATCGCGCCAAGAGTTGGAGAGGAGAGTGAGAGCGAAGGCAACAACGGTAAATCCGACGGCTGCGATTGCCCAGTCCTTCTTGGCCCACCGTCTCCACCAGAGCAGGCTGCGAAGCCTAGGATTTGCCATTGACCCTACCATCAATTGGCTCTGCTTTGTACTCGCGGAGTCAACTGGACACTTAAAACACCAATTCCCAATCTTCAACAAGACAACAACATTTTTTTCTACTTCTTTTTGTCCCGGCAAAAATCAGCCGCGTAGTTTATAGAATAAGGTAGCACATTTCAATTAATCCAATCTATTAATTATACTTAAAAGCATCAGCAATCATACTTCTTATTTTAAAAGCTCTCTATAAAATTTGAACTTCAATCATACTCGTTATAAATACTATAATTATTTTTAATTCAATATAATTGATTCATCTCTATTAAAAAATAATTAGTATTAATTAAAAGTTTAAAAAATACATAAAACAAAGCATCATTAAATTATAGGGAACTGCTAGGAAGTCTCTCTATTTTAGAATGTGGATAGGGCATATGATTGGAGTTGTATTTTTCTAATTTCTCCCTAAAATTTGTCTAAGGAGGTAGTTTAGGGAGCTTATTGTGGAGTACTAAACACATCATTGGATTTGTATTATCATTTTCAATCCAATGCAATTCAATTCTACCTCATAATCCAATTTAATCATAGTCACCAAACATGACTGAAGTGTACTATGCGTAATAACTCTTAACCATTAATGTATATAAAACTCATCGCATGCTTCATGTTTCACAAGGTGGCATTATGTTTAAAGAAGAAAATGTTATGGCTTGGTATCTACAACCATCTACATGTTGCATGTATGATTTATTGTGATCGAGAATATATGGCTCAAAAGCCTTAACTAGAGTGACATGAGATTTGTAGCATGGTGAGAATAGAGATCTCGATATCACGTATCTACAATTATCTCATGATTTACAAGTTTCAAGCACTAAATTGGATTTATAATTAGGGCGTGCAGTATTTACAATTGGTTTGTCACATCCCGGGATTGGCTCCACCGTAGCACAATATTGTCCGCTTTGGGCCTCCCCTCTCTGCCCTCACGGTTTTGTTTCTGGGAGCTCACGAGCAACTTCCTAGTGGTTCACCCATCTTGGGATTGCTCTAGCCCCAACTCGCTTAATTTCGGAGTTCCCATGACTCTGAAGCCAGTGAACTCTCAAAAGGCCTCGTGCTAGATGGAGGTGGGCATGTACATATAAGGCACATCACCCCCTCTCTGTTGGTCGATGTGGGATGTTACACGGTTTCTGTTAAGTAATCATAGCAATTAGCATACACACACATCCTTGAGTTGTTTCAAAATGATCGCTACATTGCAAGCAAAGGCCCCAAACTATAAAACATTTGATAGAGATACTACACTCTGTTTTTTTTTTTTTTTTTGGAGTTTCACTATTATGCTCAATATAAGCCCTAAATTATATTTAAAAAAGCCAATATGAAATGTCCTTTTTTTGGTTTTTTTATATTACAAAATTAGTGAAATATCCATTCCTAGACATGAAACTATAAATATACCCTACACTATTTAATACATAAAAACACACCCAAAATAAACCCAAAAATCAACAATTGTATATTTTTTAATTTAATTAATAAGATGAAATACCTTTATTACCCTTTTTAGCATTAAATTAGTTTTGGATCTCACTTGAATTAGAATGCAGAGAACATAAAAATTCCCTCTCATCCTTCAAACCCTCATCTCTCCTCTGTTCTCTCCCTTCTTCCCTCTCTCTGCCTTCAGAGTAAACCAAACAGTCTCAAAAACTATTCTATAGCTATGGTAGAAAAATCCTCCCTCGTCACACCGACTATAACCTCCGTTACGTCAGTGACCTCACACTTGTTCTCGCTGCCGATGCCTCAATTTCCTTTGCAGGTTTGTTCTATCTGCTTCAATTTGTTATCTTCATTTTGATTTTTGCTTAATTTACTTGAATTTCGACTCGATTTCATTTTCATGTGGCCACTCTGTAGATTTGAGGTGTCAATGGCCAGATCTGTCTGGTGTTTTCCTAATTGCTGATGTCGACGACGACGATTGTTCTAAAGCCAGAGGGGCTATCGCTTCGTCTTCCTCTCTACAGCCGGCATTGAAGAAGCTCTTCTTTGAAGAGCGGGATACGCCGACCTTGAGAACATCGTTTTACAACTTAGGAGGTGGACTCGGGTCCTAATCCATGAGATCAACCAGCTTCTGTTTAATCATCAACACCCTCCATAGTAACAGGGAGATCCTTCTCCGTGAGCTCATCAGTAATGCCTCTGATGTACAAATTTTCACCATTTATTCTTATGATGATTTCTCATTTCAGTATGGAAGGAAACTAATTTATTTGTTCTTTAGCCGTGATAGGCATATTTGCTTTGGCTGATGAGAAAACAAAAAGAAAGAGAAAAATCTGTGGTCTAGCAGCTCAACTTGATACTGTTCAGTTTTCATGCATACACTTTCCTAATTAACAAACAAAATAGCACAAATAATAGTACTATCCATTTTCCATGTACATAGTTCTTAACTGAAAAAAAGAAGAAGCAAAATTAATATAATTGGTGCTACAGGGTCAGGTTAGCATTGCCATGGCCTTTCTTTCTTTAAGGGCACCAAAAATACAAATTAGCCAATACATTACAGAGAGGATGTATGCCTTTCCTCCATTCCTAGGATTGTTCCCTGTAATATTAACCAAATTCAGTTTCCTTACTATTGGCTCTATGATTGACCAAAGCCTATCTATTAGGTACAACATATGTTTTAATTCATTTAGTTTTGGTGTTGTCAAATGATCCAAAGAACATAGATAGATACATAAATTTTTTAATTTCATAATAGTCCAATGATCTAAGTCTTCGGATACTCATAACCTCGCACTTACAACAAGAATTAGACTTTCATCTTTGTATTTACAAATTTTACCTTGATTCCAGGTTACTCAGACTTGTTGGCCAAGATTAGGTTTTACACAGAGAGGTAACACAACGAAGCAAGTAGCATTTACAATGTAATAAATGATTAATCATGTTTTGTATTCATTGCCTTGAAGCATGTCTTACTTAGGACACATTGGTTAAGTCATGCACAAATATACCACTATAACTCCAGCAATGCTTAGCCAACAAACTACGGCCCAACCAAGAAACCAAACTTGATACATCATTTCAAGCTGCTAGCGACCAAACTTTATACATCATTTCAAGCTGCTAGCTAAGAGTCTTATAAAAGTTTAACCAAAAAATTGGGTGAGTTACATATATTTTGCTAAAACATCTGTTTTGAGAAATTGGATTGCAGATAAAAATGTGTCAATATTCACAAATTCCTCATTTTTAGAGTTTTAAAATGAGAAAGTTGGTTTATTTATTGTACTAGTTTTGTGGAATTGTTTTTGCTTCTGAGTGGTAGCTGAAAGAGAGCTTGCTCTTTTTGCCTTACAAGCTTGTAATGGAATTGCAGCTGAATTTAATGGTCAGGCTTTGATTTCATTTTGGTCTTCTGTTATTTTGGGGAAGAGAGAAATTATCATTTTGAACTCATTCTAAGTGTGTCGTGTGATTGAATTTATTCATTTTTCTGTGCTTTGATGTGGCATTTGCAACAAGTCAATTTTGGCTTTTTGAGTGGTTGTGGGAATATATGACTCTTGTAAATTGCAACAAGCTGGTAAGTTGATTTGTAGTATACAATTTGTTATATGTAAGTGGTATGGACAATTGTTAACTTCCAGTAAGTGGTATGAACAGTTGTTATACTGTTCATACCTTGCAATTGAATTGATTTATATGACATAATATTAACAGTGTACTACTATGACATAGTATAACAAAGCATGCTCTATATTTTGCTCTATATATAGGTGTGCACTTGAAGTTTATGACATGCAAAATGTGATTTTTACTAAGAAGATAGTTCTATGACATAATATTAACAGTGTACTTCTGTGATTAACTGTGTACTTTTTTTTTCTTCTTGTAGATTTATTTTCTTTTGCCTTTGCGATTGTATATGGTGAAACTGTGGACAATTGGAGATGGCTGCAAAGTATATCGGATGTCTTGCTAGACTTTTTTGGGTTTTTTTTTTTGTATAAAATGGTATTAACAATGTTTTTCTATTGTATTAATATTTTTTTTTTCTATGAAATTGTATTAACAATGTACTTCTATAGTATGGTATTAACAATATACTTTTATGAGAGCATCCACAATGGGGGGTGTATGTTAAATATACACCCCGAGTCACCGAAATCACCCGCAATGGGGGGTGTAAAGGGATGTACGTTTACATCACCACCATGGGGATGTAAAATAAAATGTATATTTACATCTAATTTTACATCCCTTACATACGGGACCTACCCGAAGAAAAAGAAGAAAAATGAGTAAAAGTCAGCATAAAAAGCATGGGACCCACGGCTACAGTATTTGCTAGAAAAAGAAATCACATGCGGAACAATTTTTTGGTTGTTCTGTTCCCCCCCAACCCCACCAACGGCTAGTTTTATGAAGAATCAGCCCAGGCAGCTTCAGCAGCTTTTTTATTTCATGAAGAATCTGGCCAGGCAGCAGCTTCAGCAACTTTTATTTCATGAAGAATCTTCAACAGCTTTTATTTCATGAAGAATCAGGCCAGGCAGTAGCTTCAGCAGCTTTTTTTATTTCATGTCAAGCAGCAACTTTTTTTTTCATGAAGAATCAGCAGCTTTAATAGATGTCTTTGATTTTTCAAACGCATGCCAAACAGTTCAAGGCAGCAACTTTAATAGATGCCTTTGATTTTTCAAAAACATGCCAAACAGTTCAAGGCAGCAGCTTCAATTTTTCATGCATCTAAAATCAGCAAGTCCAACGGCTAGTTGATCCAAGGCCAAGAAAATTTCAGATTTTCTATATATACCCATCTCTTTGTTCATAAAATCACAATTCTTCTTTTCTCACAATTCTTCCTACGTTTATTTATTATTGTTGTGTTTTTCTATCTTTTGTGATCATCAAAATGAGTGGAATTGGAGAGGGTTCAAAGAGAGCTAAATTGCCAAACTTTTCCACTGAGGAAGATGTTGCTCTATGCCATGCATACCTAGCAATTAGTGAAGATCCAATTATTGGAAACTCCCAACAAGCTAATGCATTTTGGGCTAGGATTCATAAACAATCCTTTGAATTGTGCCCCTCCAATCGAACTTCTAACAGCCTCAAATGCCGATGGAATTTCATTCGGCCACGATGTCAAAAGTAATCTTTCATAAGGCGCATATGGCCAGCTTCTTGTTCTCTTGGTACATACCTCCTTCTTGATGACGACCCACCATGTGTTGCCTTCTCTGCATTATGTTTCTGTGATATCTCTCATTCTATGAACATCTCCTCCATACTTTCCTCGTCAGAATCAGTGTCAAACAAGTGTTGGTTGCTCATTTTATTGTTGGGGGGAGAAGAGGAAGAAGAAAGAACACGAGATAAGATGGATGCTCTTGAAGTGAAGGTAGAGATAGGTTAGATGAAGTGAAGAGATAGGTTTGATGAAGTGAACATATTTATAGGAAATCAATGATATCTGATGGGAGAATCAAAGGGATGAGATGAAGAAAAGAGAATCTGATCCAAGGGTTGAGATGAAGATAAGAGAATCTGATCCAACGGTTATTTTTGGATGAAATCATTTTTTCTCCGAATTTAAATATTTTTAGGTCTATTTGTTTGAAAAAATAAAATTAACCTAATACAAAAAATAAAAAATAATAAAATAATAAAATAATAAAGTAAACACAAAATACAAATTTAACACAAAAACGAATTAAGACAAACAAAACAATTATACATCTTAAATTTACATCTCTCCTCATTGGAGCAAAAAACATATTTACACCCCCCCGGAGGTGTAAAGGGGATGTAAAAGTGGTTTTACACCCCCGAATTTACATTCCCCCACTGTGGATGCTTTGACATGGTATTAACAATGTATTTCTATAATATGGTATTAACAATATACTTTTATGACATATGGTATTAACAATGTACTTTTATGATATGGTATTAACAATGTACTTCTATGACATGGTTTGCGGAGGTTTGATCGAGAATGAAGGGTCATGGGGACAGGACCTTGGTTTTGGTGATTTTTTTTTATTTTTATTTTTAATTTGGGTTTTTTCAATAAATTATGGGATGGGCTTGCTGGGCTTGTGTTTGGGTTTTTTTGGGAATTTTGTGTTGGGCTTGTTTTAAGTTAATCAATGAGAGATATGTAATTTATAAGAACTTCAATACTAATTTCATATGTAGTAAATGGTTTTTGGATATGTTTCTAAAGTGCATTTAATGTAGGGTTTTTTTAATAATTAAAGCCTCTATTTTGGGTATATTACTAAAGCTCCTTTTTTTTTTTCTTTTTTTTTTTATAGAAATTAAATGGTGTAGAATTTATCTATATCACTAGTGGTAAGAATGGATATATAACTAAATACCTTTGTTTTGTTTTTTTTGGTTTATGCCATTAACAATTAAAAGAAGAGTAGAAATGTAAACAATAACTGAATGAAACAATACATACTGGAATCTAACTTGATCAATCAAGGCTGTGAATTCCAACTCAACCAAATGCACACTTTTATTATTATCCTACACGCTTAAGTGTGTGTGTGTATATATATATATATACACTAGCCCCTTGGCACATGCTCCAATTGGTTTTCTTTTTTCTTTTTTCTTTTATTTTTAGAATTAAAAAAAAATAACATGGGTAGTTATGTTCCATAAAAATAGGACCTATTATTTGATTTTGTTTTAATTTTTAATTTTTTTAATATGAAAAAAATGTGAATTTACCATATTATCCTCATTTAATTAATAATTTCAATTCTTAATATTTGAATTAACCAAAGGCATTTTCTGGTATTTTGAATGTTTCACCATTCTCTGCCTTTTGCTTTATATATATAGATATATATATATAATATACACGTAAAAAAATTTCGGGACACTTAAAAATCGAGGGCCTTGTCCGGTGACACCACTTGCACATCCTCAAAGCCACCCCTGCCTTAGGGTACACAACGCTGTTATGAACTTCTTTTTGGGCATGAATGAAAAAAACCAGTGAAATTCATATGAAATGAGTTGGTAAGCTTGCCGCAATGTTCTGTTGTTATACAACCAATTAAAGGGACCGATACATTGAATCGAATTTTTCATTTGCATTGCAAGCCTCAAGCTAGTCAAGCTACACGTAAGATGAACCGACGCTATAATTATTTTCTATCGAAAATACATGTGTGCTAGCCACATGTAAGAATTATACAATCGGAGGGCCGTGCCCGTCCTAATAGCCTCTAAAATCTAAGATTAAGGATACTCATAATTATGCAAACAATAATAATGCACAAACTTTATATAACTGGTTTCACAAAAATCTGGTTATAGATAATTAACAAGGGCCTTATAGCTAGCTAGCCAACAAGTGGGTACCTGACTTTGCACAATATTGCATGTAATAACTTAAGAATTGCCATATTCATTTATCCCAATAAGAGTGTCATCCGTTGGGTTGGGGCGCTGTGTCTCTGTCTTGAAATACTCCTTGTGTTTAGAGACAATAAGAAGTAAAGCAGAAGCTCTTATGGCAAAGACTTCAACTTTTTCATGAGCCTTGAGGGTTTTGTTGGAGATGGGCCAGTCGGGAAAGGAGGTTGATGTCGCTGCGCATGCCCAACTTATAAGTTCTTCTCCATAGAAATCACCCCTAAAAAGCCACGGATGTATAGTGTTTGACAAGCCACGTCCTCCTCCACCATGGCCAGTACTAGTAGTGTTGTAGGTAAGAACCATGCCCCGTGTGATGAAGATCATCATATCAAGTGGCTCCCCCTCTCGAATAATACAGTTGCCTCCATCATACAGTACTTGCTCAAGATCCTTCAATATTGCATCAAACACGTTTTGGTCTATACGTTGAAACGTTGGCACCTGAGATTAAGAACATACATGTAATTGAGAAACATTAAGAGATCGATACAAAGCTAGCAAACAAGAATATGCGTGAGAAAAACTTGTACGCCCTCTTCTTCTTTTCTATTTGAGCTAATGATAACTTATACTCTTCCATTCTCACACTAGTGTGAATCTGTTGCTTGTAACCGCAAGTTTGTATATTACAAGGGGTTTTTAAACTTTTTAAAATTTTTGATTATTAAGTCCTCAACTCGAAACTCTCAAATCAGTTAATATAGTCCTTCATATTTTAGTCTACTTAGAAAGGTGGTGTTGATGTTTCAATACTTTTTTGGTAGACATAGAAACATACTTCCTTTAGTTTAGGCAATAAGAGATGGCGCTTGATAATTTTCTGAACTCGTAAGGGAAGAATAGAGAATATATTCTCCACAGCAAGATCTTCCTCTCGTCGAAGTTGTCTTCGTACTATTTTACGGATATCCGCTGTATTGTTATAGAGGTCATATTCAATTGACATTAGTGCTATGTCAAACTCTATGTCCCTCATCTTCTGCCGAATCCAATATTCCTTGTTAGTCGCCTGCATAAATCTCTATTCAACAACAACTAGTTCAGTCCTCAAGTTTCTATGCATTATACATGGGCATTATATAATAGATATATATAGGTTTTCAACATGACCCTTTTACATATATAGAAACTACTCAAAACAAGAAAAGTGATATAAGGAAGAGCCTTTAGATTAAGAAGAATACATTTTTACATAAAGAGTAGTGCATCATCACCAACCTGCAAATGTCCAAGGAGATATATGAACAGTAGCAGGCCACTTATAGAAATAAAAACCACAAAGAGGGTTTCCCATGCATTCATACTGGTCTTGAGGTTCGAACCAAAAGAACTGCAAAATCAATTAGAGGAGCAAGCTATATATAAATACAACAGTATCTGACGCAGCACAAGCAAACAAAGCTTACAAGTGTAAGCCTAGAAGGAACAAACAAGGGACTGGAATCCACTAGGAAAATGAGAGAAATCTGAAAAGTAGTTTTTTTTTATTTATTTATTAAAACAAAAGTAATAACATGGCAACTTGACGCAGCACAAGCAGCTTCTGTTGGATCTTGATTTAATGAGTTAAAAAGTCTACGAGAGGGGGAAAGGTGAGGGAAAACATGAAGGAGGATTCCATATCTTCCTTTTAGGTTGCAAAGGATGACAATTTTTATTATTAGTTCTAAGAGAAATGAGACTCTTATAAATTGAAACCTCACATCATTTTTGCTATTACTTACATGTTTACTGTCAATCAAGTGTATTTTTTATTGTAAAATTGTTTTAGCTACTTATTGTAAAATGTGCAATATGCAAGCGGAACTTATCATAGGCCAAACCTTAGATTTCGTACGCCCCAGGAGAAACACTGCAAGACCTTTCGTGGAAAATCTGTTGACCCCAACATGCCAGACTGGAGAGCATCAAGATATACACCAAAATTGAATACTACTTTTGCATTTGATGGATTTATGGGGCATAAATCATTTAGAAGCGTGACATTTCTGAGTGTACCATCGTCACAATCAAAGATACGGAACTCACATCCATGTCCACTTTGGCAAGCATGTCCCCAACATTCTATTTGTCGTTGAATAGAAAAGAAATACCAAAATGCTCCGAATACCTAAAACACCAAGAAGTACTTAGTTTACTTAGAGAAAATTCAAGAAAATATCAAAGAAATATGCATATGCACTAAGATTGGGTTTAGTTCGCATGAAAATTGATTTGGGAATGAAAAATCTTTTTTTATTTCTTCCATGTTTGTTATGTTAATGCTTGTAAAAATATTTTATGGCTCATGGAAAAATAGGGGAAAAATGAAACCCTCCGTCCACTTTAGATTTCATTTTCCCTTCCACTTTGAATTTTGATTTTAGTAATTTAATTAGGTATATATAGGGTTTAGGGTTTATAAGTACATTACTAAAATCAAAATTCAATCTGACCCGGACAATAATGAAGAAAAAAAATGTATTCTATTTAAAGATGACAATTAAATTTTAAATTAAGATCAAATGGAAACTTACATAACTAGCAAGGATATATAGGATGAAATTGAGAAGCCCCGGGACCCATGTTTTACGCCCTGGGTGATGAGAAATATAATTGTCGAGTTTATTCTTGTTAAGAGATTTGCACTGTACGTATATTGGATAAATTCGCGGCACATATTGCAATAGAATAAGTGAATTCATAATCCTCATTCTGTTCACAGCTCTCGAGGCCCTCAGCTTGGAAAGAAAACTAAAATTGCCATCTGCACACGTGTCATTAAAAAATAAAAAGAATTATAACAGAAATAACAAAACCAATCTGAGTTATAGGATTATAAGATGGGGAGTGGTATGTTGGTATAGGAGTAGAAATTCTTGGACAATTTATTGGAAAGACTGATGTATCTGAAAGGGTCGTATTTGACAAGAAAAAATCCTTCCACCCTCACACAGCCACAGCCACATATACATATATAGTATTCATTAGTTTCCAGTCTCAAGCTCAACTTATAGATATTATTATTGGGAGGAGAGGAAAGCCTTATTAAATTATACATAATTAGGAAATTGTTTCTTACTTGCGGAACAGGAAGAGCAGCTAAAATTCCCATTGTCATGCTCCAACCAATTACTCGTCCTGCATAACGACTACCAAACATACGAAGCAAACCACGAATGTCACGAATCATGGGCCATATGTAGGAAAGATCTGCCAATGATCGCAAAACAATAGCTATTTTTTGCAATTTTGTGTCCACTACGACACACTTCCTGCCGTCGTTGAGGATAAGACTGTAGAGTAACAAAGGATCCAGTGACACAGATAAAATATAGAATAATATTACCAATTCCGTATCCCATTTCGATGCACCTTTCCGAAATGCAATCCTTTTGATCTCTTCTTCTGCCGTCCTGAACAATAATTATTCATGCAGATATATTAACAGAGATGGATGCTCAATTGCATTTGTTTATTTTAGAGTTAAAACAACTTACTCTTGAGAGTCAGATGGTTCTTGATTAGACCTCTCCATAACTGAAGCTTGTTTAGGATACTTGTTTATCCTCTCAGATTATTGCTCAACAAGGACTTGGAGCTGGAGCTGGAGCTGCTTTCTTTCTACAGCATGGAAATGGGGCAATCAGCCAATATATCTATTGGGCATATGGGGACCCACGTCATTAACTTTTGTCGTCTAAGTGCGCCCTTCGTAAAAGAAAAATCAAAATCTTAGAAGTTTTATCGTGTTTATGCAAGCCACATGTTGCAAAACATGCATGCAAATTGGCATCTGAATATAGCTTCATTAGCAAGTCAATCGGACCTCTTTGTTTTTGGTCTGAAATAACTTCATTAGGGGAAAAATAAATTTAAAAACTTCATTACAAAATACGTTCACACAAGGGTTGGCTGATTTTGCCATTCATTCTTTCATTTCTACCTTTTTTTTCCCCATAATCTTTGTCAACATACCCATTAAGCTCCACTGGAGACAACTGATTTGTAATGTCAATTTCTTAAAAGAATTAAACCTTTTGTACCCAACCCCCCGTGAAATATAAAAACAAAAAACAAAGACAAAATAAATAAAAAGGAAAAAAAATCAGACAATTAAAAAAATACAGTATTGACCAAAATGAAAATAAAAATCCATCCCTACTAGGATTAGGCATCAAAATCGGAAAACCGATACAAAATCCAAACTGTGCCAATCTCGTACCGTGTTGTTCGGTGTTGCATAATATACGATATCATACCATATCATACCGTTTCTGTTTGACACAACAGCGGTTCCATATTTCTCATTCTGTTTGGTGTCATACTGTACCGAATAGTATCCATCTTCTCTTTTTTTTTTTTTTTTTTTTTTTTCCTGTTCTCTTTCTTTCCTTCCTTTTATTTTATATTTCCCCTTGTTTTTTTATGAGTGTTGCTAAACGAACCCTAAAATTAACTAAGTACATCCTAATATTTAAATCAAAGCATAAAATTAACTAAGTACATCTTATTTAACTACCAAAAATACCATCGGTACACCCTAATATACCAATTCATCTCTCCAGTAACTAAAGATCGACATTAATTCCCCAATTAAAAAGCTTTATCAGTCTGAAACAGTCAAAGATCATTTAAGTGAATCAAGTCCACTACCCAGAAATCCAGCACTGAAAATGAACAAGTTGAATGGACAAAATCCTGAGCATGCATTAGTAACCTGCTACACAAAAAAGAACAAAAATCCAGAACTCCCTTGAAGACATGACAACCCAAGAACACCCAGCATGTATGATTTACATAAAAAAAATGTAAACAAAAAAGAGAAAGAAAAAAAAAACCCAAACTTTAGTCCATCCCTCATTCTGATCTGAACTTGAAGTTGTATTGGAAATACAGAAGGGACCCTATAAACTTGGAAACTATCCTAAAGAAGATTCCTGATGATTTCCAGGAGATGTAAATAACTTGATTTCCGGTGATTTTTAATAACTAATGATTTGGTAAATGGTAGCTTTCGAAGAATACAAAAAATTTATGAAATAGATGGTGCTAGTCATTTGATTAGGGTTGAATATGGTGAATATGGTGTACATAATAAAATTACAGTGGTTTCACATATACCCTTTTTGGTTATTTTTTATGAGGATAAATTAGTAATTCAATAAATAATTTGGCAATATGGTGTACTCAGTTAATTTTAGAGTTCATTTAGCAGTACTCTTTTTTATTCTCTCTCTCTATTATTTTCCTCTTTCTTCGTCTTTTCCTTCTTCCTCTCTTCTCTCTCTGTTTCTTTATCCCAGTCTCCCCCGCCACTCCATCCCCATCTATCTTTACCTGTTTCTTTATTCCCAGTCTCCCCCGCCACTCCATCCCCATCTATCTTTACCTGTTTCTTTATTCCCAGTCTCCCCCGCCACTCCATCCCCATCTATCTTTACCCTTCTCTCTCTCTCTCTCTCTCTCTCTCTTTATTATTTTCCTCTTTCTTCGTCTTTTCCTTCTTCCTCTCTTCTCTCTCTGTTTCTTTATTCCTAGTCTCCCCCGCCACTCCATCCCCATCTATCTTTACCCTTTTTTCTTTCTTCGTCTTCTTCTTCTTCTTCTTCTTCTCTCTCTCTCTCTCTCTCTCTCTCTCATTTTTCTTCTCCTCTCCCTCCCCATCACTTTCTTTCTCTCCATTACGTATCTTTTTTCTCTCTCTCATCTCCTTTCTCTTTCTCTCTTTCTTTCTTTCGTCTCTTTCATTTCAGTTTTTTTTTTTCTCTTAGTTCATCTTTCTCTTTTCAGATCTATAAGGTCTTAGGCATGAGCTTTTTGTATTGTCTAAAGTGATTATTGGACGGGGTATGCTGTTTCTTCTGATTGCTATGGGTTTGAAGTCTTAAAATCTTAGCTATGAAAAATCCATTCTGCAACTGTGGTACCGAAATGGTACCGTGTCATACCAAAATCAATCTGCTCCGGTATGATTCAATACCAAAAAACTAAAGGGAGTTTCACTAAAACACCCAAAATGGAGGTTGAAATTATAAAAAAAACCCAACACTCAAAACACTTTATAAACACACCCAAAACCCATCATTACACACACTCAAAACCTATTTATAAACACACCCAAAAAGTTGACTTTGAGGTTGATTTTGGGTGTGTTTCTATATTTAAATAGTACTTGAGTTTTTTTATAAATACATGTTTAGAATTAGGTTTATTTATAAATTTGTAAAAACTAAAACACCAATCCCATACCGTATCGTGTTGTTTGAAAATTCCGGTATTGGGAGTGGAATGTGGTCAATACTTGGGAACCGTGCCCAGGCCTAATCCCTACATTGAAAGGAAGAGGCCCTCCATCTGGTTAATAGTGTTTCTCCTCTAGGTAAAGAAGTGATCATGTTATATAATATAGGATCAATTCCAGTTTGGTATATATTTGCTCATATATCCTCTCAATTTTTACCCCGGTATTTCCAATTTGTTGCAATATGGTTCCCGTTTCATTCTCAATGTCTAGAATGAATAACCCACTAAAAAGTTGGAGGCCTTCTTGAGTTCAATCAGCCTCGTGAGAAATTCATATGATAGTGGGATTGCACGGAAATGGGCAGTCAATTTGCTTTACGACATTCCGACTAAAGTGCCAATCCCCCACAGACTGCAATTTTCTATCAAAATTCAAATTAGTCAGATAACCGTCTTAGGCTTTCAGTTGCTACTAGGAACAGCAACATTACAAGACAGACAGATGTAAACATGATTTGTCTTACAGGAAGAAATAAAAAATTGCTTCTCTAAACATCCAATTTTTTGAGTAGTTTCAACGCTGGCGCTAAAGTCGCTGAATAGAACTCCGATATGTCTATCGTAATCATATGCAAGCATGAAGCATGAGCATTAAGCTTATGAACAGAGCTAAACACTGAACACTACCCACAGTGGGAGGGAGAGGGATTTAGAGATCCCTGAGGGTCTCTCCACTCAAATAAGATCATGAAACTTTCCTCACCTTATTGTTTATTCGTGGAGATTTGGGTGAATGCCATGTCTCAGTTATCCATATCTGGCAATGAATAAAACATGAACTTATAAACATTCCTCCCTCCTTATTTTTTCGGAATTCATTCAGCGCCTTCAACATCGAACCTCAGAAACCTGTATGAAATAAGTTGGTGTTAAGTAAGGTGTACAATAGGAAATAAGAAGAAACCTATCAAATTTGCTCACTGGTACCCCATACGCAATAGGAAAAGAGCACCTACCTTAGAGGGTTCCATTCTCGTAGCACAATCCTTGTGCAAACTCTTTGCTAAACCCTGGCAGCATGAAAATCATTGCATGCTTCATGTTTCACAAGTTAGCATTATTTTTATAGACGAAAATGTTATGGCTTGGTATCTACAACCATCTACATGTAACATGTATGATATGCTGTGATCGAAAATATATGGCTCATAAGCCTCAACTCAAGTGACATGAGATTTGTAGAGTGGTGAGAGCAGAGATCTAGAAATCACGTATCTACAATTATCTCATGATTTACAAGTTTCAAGCACTAAATTGGGTTTATAATTAGGAGGTGCAGTATTTACAATTGGTTTCTGTTAAGTAAGGTGTACAGAATATAATCATAGCAATTAGCGTACACACACATCCTTGAGCATTGAGCTGTTTCAAAATGATCGCTACATTGCAAGCAAAGGCCTTTCATTTGGTTAATTTGTAATATACAAAATTTAACAATGACTATCTCCTATATGTGAAGAAGTGACAACAATATAAACTGTTTTCTTCTGAAAACACCTTCATTTTCGATATCTACAAAAATAGGATCAGGCACTGGACAAGGAGGAGAGTATTTCCACCAGGGGATACTGAGGAAGTAAGGATCAACAGTAGGGAATAACCCGCTAAAAACTTGTGTTCTTGAGTTCAATCAACCGTGTGTGAAATTTACATGATAGCAGGTAGGATTGCATAGAAACGGGCAGTCAATTTTCTTTGATGCATTTCGATTAAAGTACCAATCGCCAACGGACTCTGCAATTGTCTATCAGTAACAACAAAGACAAACAGTTAGCTATCAAGTTTAGTTATGAAAATGACAGAAACCCGATAAATAAATTAACTAAACACATTTGATGCCATGATGCAGGGCTTACGGCACTTCAGCTTTAGTAGGTAAAATCACACGACAAACACATAGATTGTATAACATGATTTAGCACAAGGACGCCCACGTAGGGGGCAGGGGTTGGGGAGAGGGGAGAGAGATGACTGAGGCTCTCTCCCTCTACAAATCACATAGAAACGTACTGCAGGGATGAAATACTTTCTGAAATAATATACTAGTTAACAAGAAAGCCTTATCTTATCTCAGCATTCAAATACGATGATAAGAAACTCCTCACCTTATTGTTTATTCGTGGAGAAGTAGGAGCATGCCATGTCTCAGTCATCCATGCCTGGCAATGAATAAAGCATGAACTTATAAACATTCCTCCTTCCTTATTTTTCTGGAATTCTTTTAGCGCCTTCAAAAGAGATCTGCGGTAACCTGTACGAAAAAAAGTTGCCAATGTAATTTGCCACAATATTATGTTTACAAGTAAACTTAGGGTCCAATGCATGAATCTTATTTTCCAAATGACGAGGTCACAAACCAGTTAATACAAGTACACATAAGATGAACCAATGGTGGACCATTGTATGCGCAAAAAACATGTGTGCTACATGGGTTTGGGAATACCAATCAGTTCCCCGAGATATTTCCTTGCTAAAAAAAACCTAAAAAGAGGACCCCAGTAGTGCCCCCTGAATGCAACTGGAAGCTGTTTAAAATGCTGGTTTACGGTCCAAATACTCTATAATCAGGTTATCTTCACCAAAATTTTCTCTGGTTCAGTGACCCTAAGAATTTTAGTTTAAATGTAACATAATAAGA